ATGCTGAATTTGAGGTTTTCATTTGTTGCCATTTGTAATCATCAAAATTAAACGAAATAAACATTTGAAATATATGAGTTTGTATGTAATGTATGAATATAATATACAAGTTTCACTTTTTAAATGGAATTACTGAAATAAATCTACTTTTTCATGATATACACATATACACATACCGTTCATACAATGACCAACCAGAAAACCCAGAATTTAAACACCTGTTTGTGTGCGGCTCTGAGCATGCATACAAGATCTCTCCACTGGAATGGAACCTCAGCCATTTGTTTAGCTGTGAATCCAGAAGATTTCAAAAAGGTCAGCTGTTCCCTGGTGAGGCTATAGCTTGGTCGACCTCTGGATCCACTTTCAACAAGAGGAGCCTTGAAGCCATGGCTGTCTGTAATCAGACAACATGCAGAATATTTGTTACTTTTAAGTACTGTGACAGGATAGAATTTGAAGGCTTCATAGCAAGAAGACATATCTTAGTAAAGCAGGTAGACAATACAGAACTTAATCATGATGGCAGATATTACTCATTAAGACATTATTAAAAAGACACCTCATTATAAATGATTTCATTTGTCTGGCATTACAGTGAATAAAGCTGAATCACTCCTTGAAATTAGAGACTAGAAAAAAAAAACAAACGGTGAAAAAAGATAAAGACTGGAGCACAAAGAATTTGCTTTGATGGTGGTTGGTTTTAAGAGCTGTGTCCTAAATAATGGACTGGTGCCAGAAGAACTTTCAATGCCTATTTTGTGAAAAAGGCCTACAACTTAGTTCAATTCAGTTTATTTATATAGCGCCAAATCACAATAAATCAGTCTAATTCAAGAGAATTTTTAATCAAGAGAGGTTTGCATTAAAGTTGAAATATTATCAACAAGGCCATCTAAATTCCTGTTCTCTACATTGCTCTGTAAGACAGAGGAAAATAAAGATGGAAGAGATTCTTTAAATTTAGCTACAGTATTCTCTGATAAACATCTACTATAATGAAATTGGCTCTCAATAGCTGTGTGGTCAGTTAATGTAAATTCAAAGGTTATTAAAAACGCAGAGACAACAACAACTGTAAGTATTAGGGCGTTGGGGTTAGGTTTGGGACCAAGGTGTGAATTGAGTTTAGGTTAGTTTTAGGGTCAGAACCTGTGAGGTTAACTGCACGGTAAATGGTCATGGTTAAGCTATAAAATTTCCAAAAAATAAATGGTAGTCAATCCACGGTCCCCACAGTGATTTAAAAACAAACCTGTGTATGCATGTGTGTATGTATAGATATACACTTCATTCATACATATTTGTAGATAAAAGATGATTAAAGTAACCAGTAGCAGCAGCATCTAGGCTCTCTGAGGCTCGAGGCTGAGTTGATCTTTCTCACTGCCTCAGAGTAGAAACTGGATCTCAGCCTTGTTGTTCTGGTTTTAAAGCTCTGCAGCCTCCTGCTCGAGGGGAGGGGACCAAACAGTTTATGGGCTGGATGGATGGGGTCTCCTCTGAAGTAAATGTTCTCCACATAAGAGAAGCTACAGCGAGTGGTCCTCTCCATTCAGCTTTCACACACACGCCCCTCTGCAGTGGAGGCGAGCAGTTCCTGTACCAGGTGATGATGGAGCAGGTGCTCTCCACCACACACCTGTAGAAGCCTGTSGAGTTGATTTCAGCCTCCTGAGGAAGTACAGCTGAGCAGTTGTTAGACATGAACTGGTGAGGGTTAGATCAAAGGAAAAATGTTTGAATAAGGACAGAAATAAACTTGCACGATTATTTTTGTTMGCAACCTTGTTCCCATTTRGTACTAAATTCACCCTCTGTGATCAAACTGCATTGAGACAGGTGCATTAATATGCACTAAATACACTAATCATAATCTGTCCTGAGTCTTGATGCAGGACCTCCTGCTGAACTGATGTGACCCTACACAAGCAGCAGCGTTAAGACTCATTTATTTTATTTTGTCTTCAGTGGATCTATTTGTCAGTCCAGTATATGACAGAAAACAACAAAATCACAAGTTTTCTTTTCAAGGAGCTTCACAAATGAATCAGTGGCCGGCTGCATCGTGTTAAAAGTGGATTACTTTCTGTGCGCCACCGTGGTCAGGAAGTGAGTGTGAGCTCTCCTCAGACAGGAGATAAAGAGTCTGATGCGACTAGTTATGRGAACAACTTGTGTTAATCCTTTCTCGTGTGACTCATAGTAATATTCAGTCCCTTATGAAGCCCGACGTGGAGCAGGAGAGACACAGAGTCACTTTAATCCTTCCCTGAGACTCATCCAGGCTCTCTGTGGTAAGTGTCTGCGTGCTGCTGCTTTGGAAAAGTTACCATGTTTGTTTTGTTCCTTGTGTTTGAAGGAAATATAATGTTGTTTTCAACAGGAGGGGGGAAATTGTAGTGTTCAAACATTTTGCCACAAAGCTGCYATAAATAGGCAGAGAGCTGTTGGTGGTTTTAGCTGATAATTATCATCCACTTTGTTGGTTTTAGTGGCTAAAACCAATCACTGTTAATTACAGAGCTCAACAAAGAGACTATTTTTTTATTCATGCTACAAAAAAATCACATGCAAATGAGTTTGTGAATGAGAGCTGCTCCATAAATACAGATSCACCCTGTCCTGCTCTGTTCTCCCCCTCTCCTTATTCAGAGGGGAGAGAGAAGAGTTTCGTATGATGTCYGTGGTGGGTGCGCAGCCTTTCATCAAACCAATGCAGACTTCACCGTCAGTCTCGCCGGGGATCCAGCGGCGGCACACGCTCCCTGCCAGCGAGGTGCGACCGCTCAACACGCAGGACGCCATCAGCGTCTTCGAAATCGAGAGGGAGGGTAAGTGAGGTCAGAGGTCAAACGCCAAAGCTGAGCCGAAGCTTTTTTTTTTTTTTTACAGTTCTTCTCAAACAGAAACTTTAATGTGTGTCTGCTCCTGCAGCTTTTATCTCAGTGTCAGGTGAGTGTCCCCTCCACCTGGACGAGGTGCGTCACTTCCTCACACTCTGCCCTGAGCTCTCCATGGGCTGGTTCGAGGAGGGCCGGCTGGTGGCTTTCATCATTGGGTCTCTCTGGGACCAGGACAGGCTGACCACGGTATATAAAAAAAMCACAGACACATTGTTTTGATTCGGCTGCTATTCTTTCATTTTTATCCGTTTTCATTTGCCTCTAGAATGTTGGAAAACCTTAAATTATTAATCAAAATGTGTGGCTAATTCAGGGAAAGTGTGTCCTGACTTTTGGTACTTTGCATGACTTAGATGAAAATGGCAAAAAAACAGCACTTAATTTTCCCATAGACAAAAATGGGTTTTTGGTAAAACTAGTGAAAAAAAAGTCAGATTTCCCTCTAGAAACACAATTTATAGTTCAATATGTCACAAAAACATATCTTACCTACAAAGTTTAAGTTTAGTATTTTCTTTTGAAGATTTCTAAAGGTTTAATTTAACTTGTGATGATGTTACACACTCTTCAAAATCTTTGCAATCAAGCATTTTTATTTTACACTTCTTATCCAGTTCATACATCCAAATGGGGATGTTTTTGTCTTCTTCCTCCCTACGTGTCTCTTGCTGCTTTAAAAACAGTTTTCTCTCAAAAACACTGGCTTCAATCTGAGCTGTGTTGAGCGCCTAGACGTTTCATACAGAAACGGTCTGTTTCACTCGTCACGTCTCCAACATAAAACTCAAACTTTGCGTGTGACGATCAGAGACCTCCTCTGCTCACAGTTCAGGAATGTTTTCATTCTGTTTGTCTCTGTAATTTAAGAGACACAGGTGTGTGGTTACCATGGTTGGTGACCCTTATAGTCACTGGCAGCAGCTTCGGTCAAGTCGGCGTCTGCAGAAGAGGGGAGTTCCTTGGCTGTATGGGAAGAGTTTGGCAAAACCGTGATTGGTCAGATTGACTTGTCTTGTGGGGCAAATTAAAAGATAAAGTAATGGCAACAGTAAAATTACTGTGAACATGGAAATATAATCTATTGACTTCAAATTTGGTGCYGCTAGCACCTTCCCGTCTGGAGTTATGACTATAAAATAATATTAATATTCAAAATTAGCAATATTTTTCGAGCTGGGTTTAGACAGTGCCAAATTGTTACACATCCCTCTACATGTACAGAGTTCAAATTTTGTCCTGTCTCGAGTTAAGACTGTAATAAATATTTATATTTAAATTATGGGCACTTTTTAACCAAGTACCCATCGTTCATCCAACAAAATTGTTCGGGCTTCTTCAAACCCCACCCAAAACAGTCAATCTGACCAATCATGTCTTTAACAAACTCCTCCCACCAAAGTCAAACAGACCAGTCTCCACCCACACACCAAGAACCCCCCACTTACTGACTGCAGAGACCCCCCTCCCCCACTTTAATAGATGTTGGCTCTCTTAGAAGATGCATGCAGATAATTCACCGTCCTTCCAAATTTCTCCCACTAAGTGTTTTTTCATTATTATCCAACTCAGGAGGCGCTGACCCTCCACAAGCCCTGYGGCTCCACCGTCCACATCCACATCCTGGCCGTCCACCGCACCTTCAGGCAGCAGGGCAAGGGCCCCATCCTGATGTGGCGCTACCTGCAGTACCTCCGCTGCTTGCCCAACGTGCGCCGGGCCGTGCTCATGTGCGAGGACTGCCTCATCTCCTTCTACCGCAAGTCGGGCTTCAAGGTGCTGGGCCGCTGCGCCATCACCGTGGCCAGCCTCACCTTTACGGAGATGTGGTACCCCATCAACGGCCACGCCTACATGCGCCGCAACAGCGAGGCCATCCGCTTCCCACAGCATCCCCTGACCCTGCCACTCGCAAAGACTGACGAGCAGGTTGACATGTGACTTCCTTTGACCCAAAAGCAAAACGTGTTGTCGGTGATGACTTTGTTTCGTCGTTTGTTGGACTTTTTTCTGCTCGGATTTGTTTGATCCTGTGTGAAATGTTCTGTTCAGTAAACAGGAATGTGTTAGTCCAAGCTGTGAAGTGGTTTCTGTGTAATCTTATCAATGGAAAGTGATGTGTTTAACTCTAACTTTACCTACATGTTAGATCTGTAAGCCGTTTCCTGCTTATACCCGCACCCCCTCCCATGCTTCTCACGCCTCATGAGCTGACGTCAGCCATCGTCAGGGTTTAGCTGCTCAGTAACAGCTCGTCCAGCTCCTCTACRGGAGCTTTAGCTGCTGTAAACATCTGAGGATTTAGAGCCTCTTGTCAGTGAGCCTGCAGAGCCATCGGACGGCGTTCTCATCTGCGAAGCCAGACTTTGGAAATTTGTTCCCACGAGTTTGTTTGTTTCTCTTGCAGCAACAGAATGTCAATAAAATGTTTTATACCTTGTTTTTTTTTAAAGATGGAAAGTTGTGCTCTTGATTTTATTTTGGTTCAAACCAACTCGTTTTCTTCCTCTCCGTCGCCCACAACTGAAGCCAGAAAGAAYGTGTTTGTTTTGTCTTTACTGTTAGCAAAATATCACATGAATTACTGGACTGATTTTAATGAAACCACAGAAAGTGATTAATAGACGTACAGCAGGAAAACGTTTGGAATTCCCAAATCAAAATGGCGGCCACAGACTGTCATTTATACAGACACGGAACTAAAATTCTGTGACTTTTACTCTGAATGATTGAGGCAGACTTGTGTTTAAAACGTTGCTCCTCGCCTGTYAGCAAAATATCCAATTAACCACAAGTGGACTTCAATGAAACTGAAATGTCTACACTGTAAATAATTTTACACACATTGTTTTACAATTTGAGGTGGTTGACAGTTATGCATAATACAAATATTACAGATTGTACAAGATCTTGTATAAAATTATTTTCAAGGTTTGGCCAAAATGGCTACAACTTACTCAACATAAAACTCTGCCATGAAAGGCAGCAGCTGGTGTTATCTTTAGTAAACCATAGAACTTTCTGTTCGATCGTAAACTTTATCTGCAGCCTCGTCTAACCAGAGACACACTGAGCTCCTGAACGGAGCTCTAATCCGTGACACAGTCACTGAGTCAGGTTTTAATCCGTTAATATGGCACAGCGGGCGGCTCCGGCTCCTCTGAAGGACAAACTTGGACAGTCAGCTCAAAAATGACACCAATACCTGCAAAATTCCTCATTCCTTGGTGAGATGCAGCAGAACAGTGGGTCATTATTCTTTGGTCACCTTTTACACATTGATCTCTAACAGGGTAAAAAATGCAATAGTTTTCATATTGATATCCTTTAAAAAAATCAACACCCAAGGTGAACTTTTGCTTCTTTTACCCTCCAATTAAAAATGACAGAAAACCGTCACCCATCTGCTTCATCCTTCACATCATCCCATCCATAAAAGCCTGAATTAATCAAAACTTTCTTCAACTGAACAGCTCTAAAACTGAGATCATGTTGATGGACTCTCTCCATCAGCTCCAGTTTTTTTCCACTACAGTTTTAATCTTCTCCGGTCAGGACRTTACACCCGCTTTTGTTTCCACCAACCTCTGTGTCTGGTTTGATCCTCACCATTTTTTATTTTATTGGTTTACATGCTCTACAACAATGGTTCCTAACCTGGGGGAGATGCACCAGAGAGCACAGGGGGGTCACATAAACTTGTCTGCTCTGAGGTTGTGAAAATATCAATTTATTTTTTGTATATATAAAAAATCACCAAACCAAGTCCATTTGAATGATTAAAACTCTGTATAATTCCCTCTTCGGGGGGAAAATGATAGGTTACAAACAGAATTGCACACCATCATTCATATTCAATTCAATTCAGTTATTTATATAGCACCAAATCACAACATATGTAAAGAAGAAGCCAGCAGATTGTGTTGAATCACTTCATCACAGTCTCCCATCCTGAGCAAATGGTGGAGAGGAAAAACTTCCTGCTAATCAGGAAGAAACCTCCAGCAGAACCAGGTGCTCAGTTTGTGCTCCAGCAGTCTGTCTATAGCAGCAGAAATGAAGAATAATTCAGGAAATCTAAGTCTAACTATAGGATTTATCAAAACGGAAAGTCTTCAGTCTAATCTTAAAAGTAGACAGAGTGTCAGCCTCACTGACAGAAACTGGAAGTTGGTTCCACAAGAGAGGAGCTTGATAACTGAAAGCTCTGCCTCCCATTCTACTTTTAGAAACTTGAGGAACCACAAGTAAACCTGCAGTCTGAGAGCGAGGTGCTGTTAGGAAAATATGGAACAATAAGATGTTTAATATATGATGGAGCTTGGTTGTTAAGACCTTTGTATGTTAGGAGTAATATTTTAAATTCTATTCTGAATTTGACAGGGAGCCAGTGGAGAGAAGCTAAAACTGGAGAAATATGATCTCTCCTTCCAACTCTCATTAAAACTCTAGCAGCAGCATTTTGGATTAACTGAAGACTTTTAAAAGAGTTTTTCCATATGTTCCACTCTGGCTTTCATGTTATTCTTTTATTATTTTGATAAAGAGGTTAGCTTGAACATGGGAAGTAGCTCAGCTTGGCTTGGARGTAAGAAAGGAGGTCTTTGAGAAAAATAGGTTGGGAAACACTGACCTACGCCAATAAAAATCTCTCTTTTTCCTTCTCAAAAACACTGTAAGTCTCAGTTTACTGCTTGATACTGAAAAAATGTGCATGTCTTTATTTCTTCAAGGCTGGACTTTTGCWATTCAATCCTWTTCATCGTTGCAAATATAAACCTTAAGAAGCATCAGTCCACCCAGAACAACACTATAGACTGTCATCTCATCTAAAACATGGCACAGCAGACCTTCTCTTCACTGGCTTCCTGTCTCTGGCAGAGTATGAGATTTGTTTTCTGACACACTGATGTCAACACGACCGCATCCCCCTAAAGGAGCTGCTCATCCCACACATTACAACCTGTTCTCTGCTCCAACATTTCATGCATCCTTCAAAATTCCTTTTTGTTCCATTATTTTCTTTTAATCCTGATATTACTACAGCATTATTGTCATTCTGTTTTACGTTTAAATTATAAATAGCAAATTAAATGTAAGAATATTTTTGACRTAGTTGTTATTTCTATGTGTTTGCAGAACAGATAACCAAGCACACACAAGGTGTTAATATGTGACTCGGACATGTAAACAGTACAGGCATATCACCTAGCAAGATGGCTGCCACAAATCTCACCCAGTGCAATCAGGGACCATTCCTGTGTATTTTAATGGTTATTGTCTCATAATACCAATGAWGGTGTAATCACTGAGCACAAGAATCAGTGAATCTGATTACTTTTCTGACTTGGAACAGTTAACTCAGCCGTAATATTCATATCCAAGTACTTCTGAGGGAAATGGTATGCAATAATGTTTATACCAGGTTGTAAAGTATTTATCAGGTTTTTTTTAGATCATTTTAAGATTTAACATAAACACCAACATGTCGGTTTTTTCATCAGTCTAGATTAGAAAGGTTTGGCTTTCTATTCCTTTTACTGTAAAAAGTAACAATAATCTTTTTCCATTAATGAAAATTTGACTCCGTTTTATATATTTTTAGAAATAAGAACCCAGAGTAGAGCCGCCTGAGTCAGAGTGCTTTAAAAACAAGAGAAAACAGTGTTGGCACAACAACGGTTGGGACTTGCGAACACTGTCATCATCATTCATGGTGCTATTGTGAGAAACAAATGTACAGATGCTCATTTTAAAGGTTGGGTGCTGTGCTGGAATTACAACAACAACTGAGTAAAACAAAAGGGAGATGTTGGTTATTGCATACGTCACTCAGGAATTATATTCAGTCAAAGCTAATGTGCCATCTGTGTGGTGAATGAGCTGCTGTCGCACTCTGAGCTATTCAGCCTTTATACTGAAGAGGCCRTCAATATACTATCAAAAGATAAATAAATAATCCAGACTTTGATTTCAGCCACGTTGCCTTCTGAATAATAAAAGACTAAATGGAGCAAAATCCATCAAGCTTTGTACTTGATGTGAGATGACCCTTCAGATTATATACTTCAATGCCCCTCTGGATGCAGACTGGTGTCACTTCAGCCTCCAGACAGTAATCTCACAAAGTCCTTCCAGTCAATATTAATCTGTCAGCCAGACACCCCAACACAAAGGCTGTGCTTTCCCACATCAGGGCCAGTCATCATAAACTCCTCTGTGAGATCAAATTTGATCTTTCACACTCTTCTTTCATGTTTTTACATRAAAGTTTTAAATGTAGAGTTACCAGTGAATTTTTTTTAAAGTTTCTGGTGTTTCATTTGTCTGTGTTTCTTTGGGCAGTGCCTGTTAGTGTGACCTTGTTAACCTTAACACACGACATGCACGTGAGTCATATTTACCTGGTAATCTGTATCCTTAATCCATTGTTTCTAAGCATGTTGACTCGGTTCACTCACTGCGTACACTACGTACAAGATTCTTACCTTGAGATAAGTACTGACCGTTACAGGTGGTGAATCACCATCACATGGAGCGAGTTCTTCCTGGAAACACGTCACACACACACACATCTTTCTTATTGATATCAACAACAAAACTCTGCATTCTGCCAGCAGCTCTGTGAGGCTGAACCTGGAGTGTTTACAGTGAAAACTGCACTGTGGTTAGGTTCAAGAGGTGTACTATTTCCTATAGTTTATATAGACAGGTTGATGTGTTCTGAGATTAAATATTGACTTGTGTTTCAAAAAAGAAATCAAATAACAAAGATTTTAATGGAGTCGTTCCATCTGGGTCATTCTTATATTCCATWGTACCTATGTTCCATGATACAATGCCTATATCAGTGTTTCTTTTTTATTTAATTTAAAATACATTTGAACGGGAGCCTAGCATCATTCATGACTTTCATTATTAATCCTGAAAGAACATAGGCACCTGGGAACAGAGGTACCAGGGAACAGAGGTACCAAGGAACAGAGATACCAAGGAAAAGAGGTACCAGGGAACCGAGGTACCAGGGAACAGAGGTACTAGGGAATATAGGTACCAGGGAACAAAGGTACCAGGGAACAGAGGTACCAAGGAATATAGGTACCAGGGAACAAAGGTACCAGGGAATATAGGTACCAGGGAACAGAGGTACCAGGGAATATAGGTACCAAGGAACAGAGGTACCAGGGAATATAGGTACCAAGGAACAGAGGTACCAGGGAACTGAGGTACCAGGGAACAGAGGTACCAGGGAACAGAGGTACCAAGGAATATAGGTACCAGGGAACAGAGGTACCAAGGAATATAGGTACCA